AAGCCCCACCCGCAGAACTACCTGAAGGCCTGCCTCAAACTCCGCCTGAAACTCCACCTGAAACTCCACCTGAAGCCCCAGCTGTTGAAGTGGCCGACCCACCTCAGACGGCCCAAGAGGCGGAAGGGCGTGTTGGTGAAGTGGCTGATGACGCAGCAGAACCTGTGCTAGGTAGCTAAGTATTCTGTGTGAGAGCCATGCGGTGTATTTAAATGAAATAATGGCCTTAATTTGTCGGTCTTTGCTGGTAAAATTCTCTTCCGTTAAGTTTCACTGCCATATTTCAAGTTGGTTATAAGTCACAGTAGATCAATGCGGGATGTTTTATACTTCGTCAAATAGAGTTCTTGCGCAACAATGTTTTAGACACCGGTCTAATATTTTCATGGTGTTTTCTGACCTTTCCAGATCAATCAGCAAGAAGCCTCTCAATGGTGCGCAATGGCTTTGGCGCTGGCAGTCCAGTGTTCATCTGCATCAACGCTGGAGATTTTGCAGGTATGACATTACCTTTAAGGAACAATAGGTAATATTTACTTTTCCGCTTTCTCTTATTGTATTTTTTCTCTTTGTTTAATCTTCTAACCCTTGAACCCTCAGCCAAAGCCTAGAATTGGATATTTATACTCTTTGTGGAATTTTGATGGCTGAAAGTTGTGGTTCTGAGCTAGTACTTTTTTTTTACAATGTTACTCACTTTAATATTTCTTAAAAATTTCTTGCTTGGTGCATAATTATAAGGGTTAATTAAGCAAGGCCTATCTGCTTATATTATAACCAGTCATACTTTTACTGTTAGTGTTCTTTGGAATACTTATAAGTTGTTTTAAAAGGTTTTATTTAAGGTATTTTGAAGTCTTATATGCTCACTTTATAAAGTAAAACTAGATAGCATTTACAATTAAGCTGCGGCATAAGAATCTTTTGCACATTTTCACTTCAAGGTTACAAATTGAAACACCTCAACAAAAGCTAATTTAAAATCTTAACTCAAACTCCCAAGTGAAGTAAAACTTATTTAGATGTCAGATTGTAGCACCACCTCAATTGTATGGTTTTGTTTTCTTGGCAGGCATGCTGCAGACTTTTATGCAGACCATGGTGAGGCAGACTGTCCCTGCCCTTGCTCCGCCTGACAGCCAGCTACAACCTGCTGGCCCATCATCTGCTAGGATTGGTCCTCAGGCCAGCATCAGTCCTATTCCTGACCCTGATAGAGATGCTGGGCCTGCAAGGAGTCCTCCTCGGGCCAACTTGAGTCCTGATCGTGGTCGAGATGCTGAGCCATCATCTGCCAGGTCATCTGCTGGTCCTCGTCAGCCCAACATCAGTCCTAGTCCTGACCCTGATAGAGATGCTGGGCCTGCAAGGAGTCCTCCTCGGGCCAGCTTGAGTCCTGACCGTGGTCGAGATGCTGAGCCACCATCTGCCAGGTCATCTGCTGGCCCTCAGTCCAGCATCAGTCTTGATGCTGATAGAGATGCTGGGCCATCATGTTCAAGGAGTCCTCCTCGGGCCACCTTCACTCCTGATCCGGAACCAGAACAGCCCATGCCAGGCCAAGAAGACGACGTAGTTTATGTGGTATCAGACGAATCTGAACCCGAATCATATGAACCCAATCGCGACGCCAATGGGGCTTTGTATTATAACCAGACAAGTCAAGGGCTGGTGCCCCATGTGCTAAATCCTACTTCAGAAAAAAAGCGACGTCCAAGAGGTACAATTCCCGCCCCTGCTAAGAAAAAACCCAAATTTATTGACAGTGACGGAGAGGATGAAGAGGACAGGTATTTCATACACACGGAACATGGACTGGTTCCCGTGGCATACCATGAGAAGAAGGTGAAGGTGAAAAGGCCTGAGAGCAATGATCAGACCAATGATCCTGATGATCCACCACACTGTTCTCACAATAGCGGCAATGAGGAAAAGAAGAAGAAGAGGGGTCGCCCAAAGGGCTCTAAGAATAAGCCAAAACCCAAGGAAGATAAGAATAACGGAAAATGCAAGGAAAAGAAAAAGAAAGGTAAGCTAAAAGATTCTAGTTTATATGATTGTGCATATTAAATCAAATATGTTAATTAACATTAATGTTTTCTTATTGTCTTCTTTTCTTTAGATTCTGATTCGGACGATGAAGACACAATTCGTTGCAAAATCTGCAAAGAAAACAATGGCAAGCAACTGGTGTGCACAACTTGTGGGCATCTATTTCACAAGGAATGCCTGGATAGGTGGCTCCAGGTGTCTGGGCAAACCTACAAACCCAAGAAGAAGTGCCCCTTTTGTAATAGTCTTTTTGAAAGGTATTTTACGTTTTTTGGATAGATGGTCAATTTGCCAGTGATTTTTGATACTAAATGTTTTATGAATGCACTCTACCAACCACACTTCGGTTTGTAGAGCATGTGCATTGTTGCCTGCACAACCTTGTCTGGCCTTAATGATTTTTACTGTGTGTACAAGTATTTCTCTTCTATTGTTCTTTCAATAATAATTTGAATTTCATACCCTCATTGTTCTCCTTTGGATAGTGCGTAGCATTTTTGCATCACTGCTATCTTATTTTTTAATGTGTATCAGTGTGTCTGTCTTTTGTTTTAATTACAATTAGGATCTTATGCCTCATCGTACACTTTGTACTTCAAATACTGATACTAAATGTTTTATGAATGCACTCTACCAACCACACTTCGGTTTGTAGAGCATGTGCATTGTTGCCTGCACAACCTTGTCTGGCCTTAATGATTTTTACTGTGTGTACAAGTATTTCTCTTCTATTGTTCTTTCAATAATAATTTGAATTTCATACCCTCATTGTTCTCCTTTGGATAGTGCGTAGCATTTTTGCATCACTGCTATCTTATTTTTTAATGTGTATCAGTGTGTCTGTCTTTTGTTTTAATTACAATTAGGATCTTATGCCTTATTGTACACTTTGTACTTCAAATACTGATTCGTACTTCGAATAGTGATAAATGAGTGCATGTGTTCATCACCTCAATCGATATCTTTATTGTGTTCATGTCGTGTTCAAGTGTGAAGGTTTGTCATTCTAATTTCAATTAGAGTTCCAAGCTCATTTGTTTTATTTCTTATAATGTATGCATGTGTGCATCATTGCTTAAAAGTTATTTTGTACAAGGTTAATTTTGTATCTGTTTTTTTTATTCTAACGACAATTAAAATTTCATGCCTAATTGTTCAACTTTGAGTTGACCATTTCCTTCTAACCACCTCAGCGGAATAAGTTCAACTTAGTCCTGAGCATACAATAGAAGTCTTCTGCTTTTTCATTCAATCTTTATGGAAGTTCAATGTCTAAGTTTGACTGTAGATCAAATAAGCTTCTATTAACACTGTTTATGCGCGCTCAATCCACATGTAAAGGGCATTAACTCATGCAGCCTCACTGATTCCTGAGAAGAGTCGAAATTTTTGCCAATGATAATTCCTTAAAACCAACTTAGAGTGGAGCATGCAAGAGACAATTATAATTAAACTTTCCTCTTCGACTCTGGGATTTGGCTGTATCCCCCTACCAAAAGATGGTAAAGCTTTCATCAAGATATTTAATCGAATACGCAAAACTTGCAGTGGTCGTGTGTTAGACAAATCTCATAATTTTTCAGAAAGTAAACTATTCTTTCCAACTGAATGTGTTGGATGTAACGCTCACAAGGGGAATGTCAAGTAGGATCTTTAAAGGCAGTAAAAGGGTTTAGTTACTTCACTAACAAGCAAAGAGCACAAACTTTTACAGTTCAGATGGTAGCTTCAAGATGAAAAAACATGGTGTCCCATTATTCGTACATGCAAACTCAAAGTAATTTTTCAAAGAGGTGACTCACAAATTGGTCTAAATATTACCATCGATGGCATGATTATCAAGGGCCAACAGAGCCCGAAGAACCGCAAAAGCATGAACCTTGCTGGAGCAGACGCCTGTCCATGCCCTTCAACTGTGCGGGATATGGCGCCTGCCGCCCCGTGGGTAGGCATCCCCTCGTACGCGCGTGCTCTTAAGTGGTTTACCTTACAGGCGTTCCGCCATCCATCCTCTTGGCCGGCATACGTGCGACCAGCAATTTTACGCCTCTACTTTTCTAAATGACCTTTAAACTCTCAAAAAGAGACTTAGAGTTGCGGCGTTCTGGGCACACGCAAGGAAGGACCAAAGCCAAGGACTTCAAGAACGTCATCGAAAAGGGGCAGGTCACTGTGTTTGACGTTCACAAGACTGTTCAAGGTGGCCCATGGCTCTCTGCTGGACGTGTATACAGACTGTTTGGATAAGATGGTGGCCTTGGGTGCTTCACAGACCCCGTCTGCGAGCTTTGTGTCGGTGACATGGAGGCCGGCATCACGAGCCTGCTCGAGCACCGCCTGCTTGGACTGGCCGCACACTCTAGCGTCCAGGTTCGTCCTGGATCCTTGCAGGACGTTGACAGACTGGTTCACCGCGCTCAGGATGACCAAGTGCACCTGCCTGGCGCACCACCACTTCCAGGCCATGCTCGGCGCACCGCAAGCCGGCGGCCCGAGGAGCCCGCCGTGCCAGAACGAGCACGTCGAGAGGGAAGCAAGGTCCTGCTGAGCACCGCCAACAAGCCGAGCCCTGCCAGTCCCTCAAGCATCCGCCGAGAGAACAACAGATTGACGGCAGAATGCTGAGGCCCAACATCTTGGAGGTAACTGCGTTCCCGCCACCATCCACAGGAAGACTACCACCGGGGTGGCGTCTGGACGGCAAGGACGGCCAGATCCCCCACGATACAGCAAGACCTGCAGCAGCACCATTCTGGGGGACCCGCCGGGCGCCACTGCTCCCCGTCAGCGCCGAGAAGCTCCTGCTGGCTCTGAATCTGTCTCCACGCGGCCGCACGCCTGGGGACGACGGCTTCACCGCGTGGAAGTCTACCCTGGCGTTTGAGACATTATCAAGACCACCTTAATTCCTGGAGGTGATAAACGCCATGGGCTGCAGAGCCAGCGCAGCGCGCTGAGGGCGCTGAGCGACACCCCGGCGTCATGCAGCGCATACCCAAGACCAGCACCGTCGATGGCCTACGGCCATCATCCTCCTCAAGTTGGATGGTATTGGATGGCTGGCCACGGCCAGGGACCACCGAGCATGCTGCTGGACGACACGCAGATCCACGGCTGCAGTCCGCACAACATGCTCGGCGCACTCCTCGACCTCCGCGACGCTGACAACATTATTGACGTACGCGTCACGACCAACCGGCAGCGCGGCAGCTCCGGGAAGGGCCCTTGCAAGGGCGTTACCTCCAAGTCAATCTGTTTCCCTCATCTTAGAGTCACCGCGGCCGTGACCCGCTTGTTGTCGATCGACGACACAGGGAAGCGCGATGCGGTTACGCCACCAGGACCACATCAAGCTTGACGTCCTCCACGATGTTGAGTCCGTGCCATGGTCCATGCGCCGCTCTAGGCGCTTGAGGCTGCAGCCCCATGACCAGGGCCGCGGCAATAGGTTGGCCTCAGCCAGAATGTCCCATCTGTGTCCCGCTCTAGGCGTTTACGTCACCACCATCCTTGCACAGTCGCTCGGTGAGGCGCGGCAGGACGCTGCCAGCGAGTGCAGCAGAAGCGCCTAGCCGAGGGCCTCTGAAAGTTCGACTGGTGAACCGTCTCACTGCCATAACGGTCGACCTGTTCCCAGGCGAAAATGGAAACGGTAAGAGCGTGTTTTCTGTCTGTTCGGTGAACAGGTAAGAAACGCGTCACAGAGACGAAACAGCGTAAGAACGCGCACAACAATAAGAGAGCGTTTATAGTCTGTTTTCATAACATCCACGAAACAGCTTCCCGAGAGCAGACAGCAAACAGGAAAAGAGCAGTGTGTTGCCTGCTTCCCACAAGTTCTTTTAACACCTAAGAAACAGTCAGCTCAACCTGTTCGGATACGGACACGAAACCTCTTATAGCCGGTCTACCGTCTGTTTCTCAAACGTGCAGTGAACACTTAGCTCTACCCGCGCGCGTACGTACACGGAACATCCTTTAGTCGGTTTGATGTTTAATTACAAACACGTAGAGAACAGGCAAACTCCGCCTGAGCCCGAACGGGCAAGGAACGTCCTGTAGCCGGTTGGCTGTGCAGTCACAAACACGTAAAGAACGGGGAAACTCTGCCTGAGCTCGAACGGGCACGGAACGACCTGTAGCCGGTTCAATGTGCGTTTACCAACACGTTACGAACAGGGAGCCCTGCCTGCGTCCGAACGGACAAGGAACGTCTTTCAACCGGTTCAGTGACTGTCCATAAACATGGAAGGAACAGACAACGCTACAGCCACAGTGGAGGGGGGAGGCGCACAGAGTGGGGCGGGCGGCGGGTGGGGGCAGGTTGTTGCCTGACTGCTCCGTCCATCAGTGTGTTTCACGACTCCTTGCAGCATGCGCAAGGGTGGCCGAGTGGTAAGGCGATGGCACTGTGATCGGACGGCGCGGGTTCAATCCCGGGTCGCAGCCGATGCAGGAGGACCGTAGCAAGCCGCGTAGCAAACGGACCTTTTTGGCTGGTCGTCCTCCATACAGCAGTAATCCTCTATTTAGGTTCTTTACAGCATCTGCCAACGTGTCGCTCTGTGCAAATGCCAGTCTTTCTGCCATGTGGCTATCTGCTAAGCCTTTGACGAAAGCTGTCACTAATGCTTCTTGTAGGTCTTCTTCATTGTGTGTGACCATGTATTTTCTTCCCACATGCTCGACTTGTAGAGCGAAATCTTCTAGTTTCTGATCTGGCCCTTGCTTCAACGTTTCAAAATCTCGCTTTCTTTGCCAAAGCGATGTTACAGCACTGAATGTTTTTGCCAAAAGAGCATCCAGTTCTTGAAACGTTGCTTCTTTTCCTTGCTGGTCTAGCATTGGCAAGACCATCAAAGCTTTTCCTCGTAGAGCTGTCACGAGCTTCTGACTCTTCTCTTCCTCTGTCATGTTCTTTGTAATCTTGTTGAACTGTGACCTCCACAGCGTATAGCAATGTTCTCCATCATATTCTGGGATTCTAGTACTCTCTGTAGTGGGTGCTGGGCGCTGTTGTTGTACACCCTGATTTTGTTGTTGCTGTTGTTGATGTTGTTGTATCTGCTGTTGCTGCGTGTTCAATATCTGAGTTAGGACATTAAAGAGAGGCTGCATTGCTTGTAGTCCTTGTTGAAATCCATGACCCAAGTCGTCGCCGTGCTCGCTTGCCTCTTCGTCTTCCTCGTCGTCGTCGTCTGCTTCATCGACGTGACGCTGTCGTAACTCTCTTGCTTGTCCTTGAGCAGCTCCGCGACCTCTGCCTCTACCGCGGCCTCTGCCCCTGCCACGTCCCCTTCCTCGGCCACGCCCTCGGCCGGCTTCTGGTGCTTCGGGTTCTCCTGCAGGCTGTCCCTCTTGAACATCAAACCCTTCAAATCCGGGCAATCCGGGTCGGCCTGCGCGAGGCGGGACTAGTCGAACTACCGCGTCGGGTTGCTGCGGCGGCTCGTTTTGAGCAGGACCAGCAGGGCCTGGTTGATCTTCGTCCATCGGATGCGGCAAAGGTCCTACGTGTGGATCGAAGAAGTCACGTGCTGGTTGTCTGAAAGGCTGCATAATACAGCGATGTCTTGAGAACTTGTGTTTTCTTTCTCGTGTACTTCCCTGAAATTCCTTTGACCTAACGACGGTAACTAGCGCGAGCGAGCTCTGCTTTCAGTTCCGTCCACTTACTCCGTGTCTTAACAGCACGTTTTTACAAACTGCTTTCGTTAATCCACCTCTTTCAAGTTATCCGAACAGCTCTTGTACTTACGTTTGAAACAGCGCACTCCTGAGTGGTTACGTTTCAAACAGCACCAGGCTTACGTTCGTCTAACCCTTTCAAACTGTCAACTGATCAGCACAAATACTAGGCTTACGACCAGTCAACCCAATTGCTCAGAGAAGTGTAGGACTGCACAGACTGGTAGTGGCTTACGCTCCTCAAGGAAGCAGCACGACTATCCAGCCAGGCAATACCTCCTTACACCTCCTATAGACTACTCAATCACACAAATCGCTCGTCACACTCTCTTCCTCCTTCAAAAACGTAGGGAAAACCCACGCAATATCGCCAGTTTAACCGCTGTCACCACTTGTAGTGTAGGGCACTAATAGTGATGAGGAACGGATAAGTGACTTGAGAGAGTAGGGATTCACTGGTTTATTAGGGAGGTGCGCACAGACCGAGACCAGGCTACAGACTGTTGACCGGCGCTGAGGCGCGATCCAATTCATAGTCTGGGCAACAGTGACACCTTGCTTGGTGGGTGAGTTCAGAAAGAGGAGTATTGTGGGGGCCTTGGCCAGGAGTGAGGGAAGCAAGCCAGAGAGGGGAAGAAGACAAGAAATGAAAATACTGACTGACACTTGTTTAGCTCCTTTTTAAACCGTCAAATCTCTACAACCTTGTGAAATAAGAAATTTTTTTTTTGTTTTGTAGTTGTGTAAATTAACTTATTTTGGTGTAACAAAATTAAATTTTATTATTACTCCTTGAATACATTTGTCTCATTGTTACATCCTTAAATCGTAACTATGGTAGCACAACTTTTCAAAAACTACACAAATTTGCAACAAAGCATTTTATTTCATACAGAAGAAAACATTTAAAGAACCTAAATAAACTATAATGGCTAATAACAGACACTTGAACAGACATATTAGTTCAGACACAAGTTCAGAAAGTGATACAGTAAGTGGAACTAGTTCAAGCAGCTCCATTTCGAACCGTTCAAGGTCACCTTTGATAAGAGAAGCCATAAATAACCAGGTATGTTATTAGAGACAAGGTTAAGACTTAAGGGGGCTCATACATGTTAAAAGCACTTTTTTAAAAAAAAATTTTGATGCAGACGGATTAAGATTTTACAATTTCTGTGTTAAAATCCTTTTAGATAATTGAGTAAGCTTCATTTTGGCTTAAGGGAAAGTGACTTTGGACATTTTTTGGAGATTTAGTCGAAACGTTTAAAATTTTGCTTCTCGTAAGATTTTGTTCGCATACTTGCTCAGATCTGTGGGGAAAAAATCAGGGAGACTCATCCCCAGTAGTGTCATAGAATTTACTAGAATGGGCTTTATATCTGCAATAGTTTTCAAGAAAAAAAATATAAACAATTTTTTTGTTTAAAAATTTGTGTAAAAAATTGTTAAAAAAATTGTTTGGAGGGTTCCTCCTCAAAGCCAAAAAGTGTGAGTTGTTCCAAAGGGAGATTTCCTTCCTGGGACACATCCTGTCTGAAACAGGAATAAAAGTAGATTCAAATAAAATCGATAAAATCATTCATTGGCCTCAGCCAAATGACAGTTCAGAATTAAAGTCATGGCTTGGTCTAGCTGCCTATTATGGCAAGTACGTACCTCATATGGCCAGCAAGGTTTCACCCTTGTACCGCCTACTCAGAAAAGGAGTCCACTTTGATTGGACGCCTTATTGTCAGGAAGCTTTTGACTCTGTCAAAACAGCTCTCACCACTGCGCCAGTCCTTGGTTCTCCAGATGTGGATAAAGGACCATTCACGTTGACTTGTGATGCCAGCCTCACTGGCCTAGGAGCAGTCCTAACACAAGAACAAGACGGCAATGAAGTAACAATAGCTTATTGGTCTAAAACATTAACCCCAGCACAGAGAAATTACTGTGTCACTCATAGGGAGCTCCTAGCATTGGTGGAGTCAGTGAAAGCCTTCAATCATTATCTAGCAGGAGCACCCTTCATAGTAAAATCAGATCACGCAGCTCTACAATGGCTTAAAAATTTCAAAAACCCTACTGGCATGTTAGCAAGATGGTTAGAAAAGTTGTCTCCATACAAGTTCACAGTCGTGCATGAAAAAGGCACTAACATCAGTCATGCAGATGCACTAAGTAGACGGCCAGACAGGCCATGCGAACCTAACTGCAAAAAGTGCACAAAAATTGAAGCTAAAGATGCAGCAGCTTACCTCATCAGCTCCACTCTTGTGGAAGGGTTGACAATCCAGGAAATTTTCACATCAGTTCTTCAGGCCCCCAACACAGCACCAGTCGTACACCCAATCAGCTTGGAAGGGAAGTTCTCCTCTCCACTGGCCAGACAAATTGAAGAGTGGTACCAAGTCAAAAGAGACTTCCACTCGAACACTGACAAAACATTCCCCGGGCTGTGCACCTACAACAGAAACAACAAAACAATCATTAGTCTCATTGTCAAGGAAAAGATGGAGCACAGACCACACGTTAATGATGTAGAAATAGCACTAAACATCCTGAAAGCTTGGCTCATCAACAGAAATATCACTGAGTGGAATCTACCAGAGTTTGACTATTACAAAAGTCCAGAAAACAATTTAGAAATAATTCCACTACTCTACAAAGTATTCAAAGACACAAACATGACCATCAATATCTGTCACCACCACACCCAGCCAGACCCAACTAAGGTGAAAACTTGTGAAGAAAGTTGTCGCATTTGCCAAACAGTTGAGGAGAACAAAAGGGTCACAGAAATTCTACACACTGCAATCTCACCTGAAGGGGAAACACCACTAGAGATGGCATCACTGCAGAGAGCAGACAAAAACTTAGCCCCAATCATCACAGCAGTAGAGAAAGGCCAGAAGCCCCTCCTTCAAGATGTCATCAAATTTGGGCGCAATACCAGAACACTTTGGCACCAATACAACTCCCTAACACTTCAAAATGGAGTACTCTACAGGAGATTCGAGGACCCAACAGGAGACCCTGCAAAAGAAACACTCCAATTAATATTACCCAGGGCCAGTGTAAAATTCACAGTCAGGGAATACCATCAAAACTTGGGAGAAGGGAATCATTTTGGTGAAACAATGACTCTCAATTACTTACGTAGGTTTTTCTGGTGGCCTAGAATGGCCGATGATGTAGCAGCACACATATCCAACTGCGACACTTGTCAAAGGTTCAAAAAACCGAGACACCCCATCAAAAATGCAGCACTCAAAATATTCAAGGAAGGAACACTCCATGGCAGATGGCATGTAGACATTTGTGGCAAAGTACCTAAAACAAAAGAAGGATACGAGTACATATTAGTGGCAATAGAGGCATTTTCAGGCTGGCCAGTTGTAGTCCCACTTGTTAAAAATGATGCTAAAGAAATTGCAACTGCACTAATAACCCATGTTTTCTCAGTTTACGGAGCACCAGTCTCTATCCTTTCGGATCAAGGGACACCCTTTGAGTCACAACTATTCCAGGAAATAATGGACTTGTACCAGATAAAGAAATATCGAACAACAGCCTTTCACCCTTCAGCCAATGGAAAAGTGGAAAGGTGGATCAGAACCCTCAAGCAGCAGTTGGCAATGCTTGTAAATAAAGTCCAAAAAGAGTGGGTGAAATATTTACCTCACATAGCTCAGGCGTACAGGAACTTGCCGAATCCAGTCCACAAGTTCTCTCCGTATGAAATGATGTTTGGCACAACAATGAGGACTCCACTCACACTGAATCAAGGAAGCCCACCATGGACAAAGGACGTTGGAACCATGCCGCAGCAAATCAGAGAGCGTCTCGACCAAATCCACGAACTGGTCAGGGAGATGCAAGAGTCGGCTGCAACAAAAATGAAACAACGATATGACAACACTGCAATGCTAACCCCATTCAAGGCAGGAGACAGGGTCCACTGGGAGAAATAATGAAGATTGTGGCTGTTAAACCTAATGCCACTCTCCACTGTTTACCGAAAGAAGGTGTTTACCGTACCCTGGGATACAGTAGACACCGTACCTGAAAGAACGGCGGCGTTCACTGTATCCAGGGAACCTGCATCCACTGTACTTGGAAACTTTTCAGACACGGCATTCAGTATAACTGTAAGATAAAGGCGAAATTTCAAAATCGCGATAGGAACGTTTCGATGACGGAAATGAATTCATCTCAACAAGACGAACAAAAAATGATAAGCATGTTATGGGCTCAGACTCGAAATTCAACAGATATCGGCATCAAAAGTCTAAAAAAGTAGAATTTTGGAACGTAATTTGATGAGTCTTATGTTAGGGGTCCAAAACTCCTTCTTTTTTAGACTTCTGATCACGATTTCCACTGAATTACGAGTCTGAGACCATAACATGCTTATCATTTTTTGTTCGTCTTGTTGAGATGAATTCATTTCCGTCATCGAAACGTTCCTATCGCGATTTTGGAATTTCGCCTTTATCTTACAGTTATACTGAATGCCGTGTCTGAAAAGTTTCCAAGTACAGTGGATGCAGGTTCCCTGGATACAGTGAACGCCGTTCTTTCAGGTACGGTGTCTACTGTATCCCAGGGTACGGTAAACACCTTCTTTCGGTACACAGTGGAGAGTGGCATTAGGTTTAACAGCCACAATCTTCATTATTTCTCCCAGTGTCTACCTCTACAGACCAAGAGGGATTAAAGGAGTCTCCCCAAAGTTAACATCACCATGGGAAGGACCCTACACCATACTAAATATCTTAAACGATTGTAACGCAAGAATTCAGAAGGAAGCTCACCCATATACCATGATGATAGTTCACACCGACAGACTGGCAGCATATCCAAATTCCGAGGAAGAAACTCAAGCTGCATGGCTCACATACGTCTGAGTCGTCCAACAACCAAGGACAACATGGCAACGGGCCAACACGACTGACCAAAGGTGAAGGAAAGGGCAGCCTGGCTTTGCCCAGGTCTCCGGTATGGTCTGTGGCAATCACCGCCGGCCACCTGCTCGGGGCCCGGCCTTCGGGGATCCATCACCAGCAGGCCTGATGTCCATCACCGCGGCCGGCGCCGGTCCCGGAGGCGCTGCTGGCGCTGGTGGCAGCCAAGGACAGCCTGTCGGCCCCGCTTTCTTCTGGTCTTGACAAAGCCGTCCTCGACGAAAACTCCACTTACATCCCGACCCGGTCACGGAACCAGGCCGGGAACGGAAGAGGCAACTTCCAGCCCAACTACGCCGGCGGGGCCGCACCAGGGGGCTATCCCCGACGTAAAGCCGAGGCCTTTCCCTGGCAACGACCCCGGGCCCCCATGCACAAAGGGGCCCGCCGGTACCCGGTTCCACTGGCCAGATGGAAAAGACTGTCTCCCGGATCCCAAGCCTGAGAACAGCCCCCGAGACCCCGACACCAGAATGATGCCGAGAGTCCCGCCGGGAAAGCCGTGAAACGGCAAAGGTTGGAACGTCCACCAACAGGACACGGCGGATCTCCTTGAACCACTTGATCCACGACGTCAATCGAGCGACCATCGAGCGGCCCTCTTCAGTCACAGCTGGGCATCTTCCGGAACTCGAAAATCGGTGTCTTCGAGTCCAAACGTCCAGAGCAGCCACCAACTTCAGCTTTTCACAGACGCCATGTCAACAAACAGCTGCGAGGCACCGCCTGCTCGCAATCAGCACTCTGACGCCTCGGAAATAGTCGGGCCCACATAACCTGCAACAGGAGAACCAAGCATGAGTCGAACCGGCCATGAAAGCACCGCCTCCTACGACTGACCGGAAGCAACCAGCCGCCATCTTGTCCTTGCCCGCCATCTTATATCAAAGTCAAACTTGAATCTAGACCCAGCTCAGCTACCAAATCGGAAATCGGAAAACATCTGCAAAAATGGCCCCCAGAACTTGGATCGCTCATAAAGGAATCAACGAAAAGGACTCTGCCCACGAATTGAAGGATGGAAAGGTAAAGAAAACTTACCAAATACCCAAAACCAGCCACCACAAGGAATGGGCCAGGGAATCGCCACTTCAGCCAAAGGACACTCTCACAACGGATACGGATCGGATTACGCCACTGAAACAGAATAACAAGCAAATTAAACAAACCAAAACATCACCACTAGCAAACTTTTTGAAAAAGAGGAGGAGAAAGAAAGGAAAGTAAGACAAAAGCAACACCAGGAGCTACTCAGAAAGAAAAAACGAGACGCAGAATTCAGAAGAGAGCAGCTCGAGCAAAGAGAGAAGATTAGAAAACAGAAAATTCAGGCTCAGCGAGAAAGAGAAGCCAGAGAAAGAAAAAGAGTATGCAGAAAACTCAGAAAGGAAGAAAAGCACTAAGTTGGTTCGAGGACCCAGGGTACACAACTTGCTAGTGCATGGGACTCAACTTCAGAATCAGAAATTGAAGTTATAGACTTAGAAGGAAACGATTCAGACATTGAGGAGATCTACTGCACAAGCCCCAAAATAGTACAAACTAATGAGAAGGATCCAGAGTACGTAAAGCAAGTATTGGAATGCATGAGAGCCCAAGAAAAAGAAATGATGCAAGAAATAACAGCACTGGAGTTTGAAATACAAGGATTAGAAAAAAGTAAACTCACCAAGATTACGGGAAGAACAGCCCAGCCAGTGCCCGAAAACCCAACAGCCGCTCCACTGGAAGTCGAGTCAGGATACGCACGCCTCCAGAAAAAACAACAGGGCCAGCAGAAATTGTAGAAATGCTGCGACAAAAGAAAGAAGCAAGTGAAGAAAACCATCAAACACAAGTCCACCTCGTGCAGAAAACGAGGAAGACAAAAAGGGAAAGATCAACAAATGCAGACAAAGAGACCACTCCACCAAGAATGCAAAACCAACCTTTAATACTGGAGAAAGGTCTTGTTCCGGAGCAAAGAAGTAAACTACTGTCGACAACGGCTCAATCAGACCAAAGAAAAACAACATCAAACCTGAAACAAAGTAAATATTAAAAAAAAAAACATGTAACAAAAGAACAACAATAACAACACAACAACTGAGCCAGGAGCGTCAAGTGGGCCCTAACAAACAACAAGCAAACTACAGTAAAACGAAGCATTACCAGACCCAAAGAGGGAAAGGAAATGAGACTCACCAGAAGTACCAATCATGCATAAAGTTCAAGTCAAGACATGCTCAACATGCGGGGGGTGAAAGGAAAACAAAATGGATGAGTACATGTAAGAATTACAATGGGCGATAATAAAAACCCACTACAGAGAACACCAGACACAAAAACTAGTGTCAAAATGGATAATGTAACATGTAATGAATAACAATAATGGGCAATAACAACAAACCCACCAACAGAGAATTCCGGACACAAACCAGTGTCAAATTAAAATTCAGCCAATCCAATCACATCAGGTACTTAAGCTAAACTAGTTCTCCAAAAAAAAAAAAAACTTCAAGTTAAACAACAAGTCGATAAATGCACCTTAAAGTCGAACAAACGAGCCCAAAACAAGACCTCGATACTTAAAGAAACAAGTCAACAGGTACGACTTGAACCCTAACACTAAAATTCAAGGGATGTAAACCCCGAGATCAAGCAAACCAACAGAGGAAGGCTTGGAGCACACAATTGAACGGGCAAGTTACTAACATTCGAAATTCAACACGTTTAATAAACTAGATAAAGTTAAACGTAACTTGGAAACAGACGAGGCATAAAAACCCATGAGCACTATTAATCGTCATCAGAAGAAGGGAGCTCGAATTCACAATCAGAGCACAACTCGGTCACCAGATAGTCTTCATTGCCATCAATTCCCAGACACAAGTCACAGCTGCACCCCGGGAAGTGGTCAAAACCGGCTTGCCGTTCAGAGTACTCTAAGGGGAATCGGAAGAGTGCGATGCCGCGAGGCGGCACAGGGGACGAAGAGGCTTCTGAACCCCAGTCAAGATCATCAAGGGGGAGGGCCGCCATTTCGGGGTCAAAAGGGACGGCTGGCAACTCGGGCTCAACATCTTCAAACCCAGCAAAGTCAATGGCGAAGGCCACCTCCTCAGCGGCAGCGGCCGCTGCGCGCCGGGCATCACGAGCAACGCGCTCGGACTCCAACTAAATGAACAAGAAGGATTGACACCCCAGGGCAACCCAAAAAAAAAAGGGATGAAACGGGACGGGAACTCACCTCGGAAAATGGCACGTCGTGCAGTGGCAAAGGGTCATACGTGGCCAAAGCAGCCCCGGTCGCAGGCCCGCGACCCGGCCCCAGCCAAACAAACTCGGTTTCAGGGACAGGTAGGAGGAAGCCGTGCATCTCCTGAGCGGGGAAGGGATCAAACCCGTACACCACGTCCCCGGGCATCAAATCCCAACCAACCAAAGGGTGGTGCGGGGGCATGAGATAGTGCAGGACCTCGGGGGCGAAGTGGCCTACGGGAAAGGCTGGCCCGGGAAGTTCCTCCTTAAAGGGAAGAAAGGACACATGCAGGACGGGAACCCAACCCAGCATAAGGACCAAGCCACATAAACCCACTTACAAACACGCGATGCCGACAGTTGGCACACAAGAACGTGGGCCAGGTCTGCAACAGGGCAACGCTGTCCCATTCTTGATCCTCGAAAATCCCTTCCAGCGGGAAGAGAAGTTGGATATGCAGGGGGAGCTGCCCCAAACCCCATAGGTAAAAGCATGCAGCACAGATCTAAAAAACATGGGGGACGCCACCAAGTCATGCACATGCACGGGCCGAGACCAAGCCGACACCGACGGGCGGAGTACTCACGTAGGCAGTGTGACCCAGGAAGGAATCACAGAAACACAGAGCAGCATACGCCAGGAATCGCAGCGTGAGCAAGACAGGTGGATCCATGGCTCACGGATAGCGCTCGCAGACCGAAGGACACAGGAAAGTACCGCGTGCAGGCTTCTCGAAGATGGCGACGCAGCCGACCGCATACACTCTACAAAAAATGTCCTGTCAACGCCGTTAATTTATTACCAATGTTTGCTGTTATGCAATTCACGGCGTTTGCTGTGAACTAGTTCACGGCGTTCACTGTGATCTCGGTTACAGTGTTCACTGTGATCTGGCCACAGTAAACGCCGTGAATTGGAGCCTGATTTGCAGTACTTCGGTGCTTAGCGGCGTCAAACTCACAGTGTTTACTGGGGACCAGATCACAGTGAACACCGCGAACAAGATCACAGTGAATCCCGTGAGCAGATCACAGTAAACGCTGTGAATTGACCTACAGTGAAAACTGGTAATAAATTAACGGCATTTACAGGACATTTTTGGTAGAGTGTACACTGGCGCTCTACGCCGACTGACGCTACCCAACACCGGCGAGCAGGCCCACGCCACCGACGCCAGCGCGGCCGGCCAATCAAGACGCAAGGATACGTCAGCTGACCCGAACAGCCAATCACAGAGCAGCGCAACGACGCGGACCGCAACGCGGCGACGCCGGCCGGCCCGGCAACAACGACAACAACGGCGCGACGGCTAGCAACGGCTGGCAACCAGCGGCCGACAGCCAGCAAACGACGCGACGCAGCGGCGCGACTCCAGCGCCACACGCACCGGCGGCGGTGCACCGTACCAGGTCGCGCTCGGAACCCAACGCGAGGGGTATCGCCAGACGCAAGCGCGCGCAGCAGTTATACACAAGGAGTATCGCCAGTCGCAAACCCGAATAAAAACCACAATAAACATTGTAAACCTGATTGTACAAACACGAAAAGAAGTAAAACCATTATAAATGCTTCGCATTTCCTTCATTCAGAGAGGAGTGGGAGTACAAGCAAGTTTAGCAACTAACAAGTCTAAATTCACAGAACCACTGTCGACTTGGCGCACCCGGCAAGCCAAAATGATCTTCGTCATAATGAACATCGCCTTCTTGGCCATCGTTGCCGCACTGATAGTACACTACTTCTTGAAACAACGTCACCCAATGGCCCCAATTATCTACCTGGAAGGGAACATTGCCGCTGGAAAGTCAACACTCGCAGCCAACCTCAAGAGATTGGAACTCTTCCCAGTACTAGACGAACCTGTCAAAGATTGGCAAAACGTGGAAGGGCATAATTTGCTGGAACTTCTCTACACCGACCGAGTCACTTGGAGCTACCCCTTCCAAGTACTCGCACTAGCCACGCTTGGCCGCCGCCAAACCAACTTGCTGGCTAACCACCCAGAAGGGCTGACTGTCCTGGAGCGCTCACCCCAGTGCTCGCTGAGAGTGTTCGCTCAAGCCCTCGCGGAAATGAGTGCCATTGGCCGAGAACACATGGCCATTCTACGGATCTTGCGCGACGCCGTCGCCCCGCCAACTCAGCGGCCAATTCATTACATCTACGTACGCACGCCCCCGGCCATAGCGTACCAACGATTGAACCGCAGAGGTCGCACGGAAGAAGCAGGTGTCACTGTCGAGTATCTCACCTTGCTATGGATGTCTGACCGACACCTGGCTGCTGCGAGAGGAAACCGACCCAGTTCACGTCTTGGATGGAACGCTCACTCCTGAGCAACTGCTGGCAGCCGCTCTGGACATTATCCAGAACCTGAGAGATGACGTCACGCCAGCCCAGGAGTCCCAGCCCATACGCGAGGAGTAATTCCATAAGGCGGAACATCCCAACTTCACGCGGTGTTGCAAATCGTGACGACGGTTGTAACATCCGTTTGGAGCTGTTGGAGTCTACCTGGCGTCTGAGATGTTAAAGGCCAACTATTCTTTATTTTTCTTTTTTAACACAGCCGACCCGCGGGCTTAGGACTGGACACCCTAACGCCTGGCACCCAGAAGGTTATGGGGGAGCGAGCCTTTGTAGCATCACATCAAGACAGCGACAGCCATCGTCAACTCAGAAAGAAAAACTCAAGAAATTACCAAAATTGGACATTTAATCAGACTTAAAAAAAAAAAAAAATTGTGCTGAATTGAGTGAGAGAGTGGGAAGATAGTTCAAAATTTTCAAACCAACACGTCAAAGTTCAAAGTCAGCGTTCTAAGTAAAGATCTGGAGAAAAGGGTGTACGAGGAAAATTTTGAGAAACTTCGTTTCTTTCATTCAGGAGGGAGTGGTGTTATGATATGAAACAATAGAGAACATAACCAAAGCACGGCCTCTAGACGGTCATTCCCCGGTTTTTTAACCACTGCCCTAGTGATCCTGGCCAGGACCTCAACCCTTCTTCTTTCCGTTCTTCCCTCAAATACCCTGGTTCCTAAATCCCATTGGCCATGCACCCCCCCTCTCCACCATACTATTCTTCCCTATGTTCTTCTGCATCTGTAATATAAAGGCGCACTGTCTGGCGCCAGCCACCATTCTGTACACGGTCACCTTGTTGATAATACAGAACCCTTGCAAAATGGAAAATATATGGGCACTATATGGACAAAATATATGGCCCAACATATATTGACGACATATGTGGAAAAGATAATATAGCAAGATACTTTTCCGATATAAAAAATATGTGGCAAATATATAAATTTCATTCATTGCTCTATATGTAGGCAATATATAGTGTGAATACACAATGGAGTCTGACGACTCAGAGACTTCCTTTACTATTATCAAAGAATGTAACCTCGCCATGCGAGGATATCCAATCGTGGTCCTACCGTGGTCGCCTAGACGAACTTTTCGCGCTACACTCAAACAAGCTAGGGCCCGCCCTTCCGTCGAACCGAGTTGCCAGCTCCGCTTCGCTGCGCCGGCAACTCGGTTCGACAGGGGGCCGCCCAGCTTGGCCTGCCGGCGGCCTTTCCCTCGGCCTTTTGGCCCTCGCATCAGACCCAACTTGGCCAGTCGAAGGCCCGGGCCTTCGGCCCCCGCTCGCATCACACACCCGTAAGCGGTAAAGCACAGTTATCGATGTACCATCGTGACTTAGGCCCGCCCTTCTATTCACAATATGCAATAGTCCTTCACTTTTTACTCCAACTGTCCTTAGAATATGCCCATTTCATTTGTCCTCTTCGCCCTCATTCCGAAAATACCCATATTTGCCAGCTACTGCAACTCCTTGCATAGATGCACAGCAGGAGCGCAAACGAGTCCGTCGCACTTTTCCCCATAACTCATGAAGGCGGGCTCCTGGACCCCCCTTCCGACCCCTCGTTGAAGAGGCCTTGCCAAGACCTATCCAAAACTTAAGTAAAATTTTCAGTCGTTCGACCCC